ATGGCATCGCTGAGCTTCCAGCCGTCATCACACACGGTTCCCCACCGCTCGTTGTGAAGCACCTCCACTCTCCCGGCACAGCGGTTCGGGCCTCCAACCAGCCGCAGGTTGGAGGATGGTGCCGTGTCCAACCCTGCAAACACAGCAATGTGGAAGAAGTCCTTAGAGAACTTCTAGCTCTCCTGAGTCTCCCTGCTTCCAACACAGCTCCTTGTCTCGTCCTTCAGGCAGGGAATCCTACAATCATAGAATCATAGAACCATTAAGTTTAGAAGCAACCTTTAGAGAACATCTAGTCCAAACCCCCTGCACAAAGAGATTCACCTACAGCATGTGGCACAGGATTGCATCCATGTGGTTTTGAAGATCTCCAGACAAGGAGAATCCACAACCCCTGTGGGCAGCCTCTTCCAGGGCTCGGGCACCCTCACTGTTAAGATTTTTTTCCTTAAGTTCCTGTGGAACTTTTGATGGTTCACTTGGTGGCCATTTCCTCTAGTTCTATCAGTGGTCACCACTGATAAGTGACCAGCCCGTTCTCTTCACTGCCTCCCTTGAGGTATCTATGGACACTGATCAAGTCCCCCCTCAACCTTCTCTTGTTCGCGTTGAGCAGGCCTAGCTCTCTCTGCCTCTCCTCATAGGGCAGATGTTCCAGGCCCTTGATCATCCTCATAGCCCTGCGTTGGACTCTCTCCAGCAGCTCCACATCCCTCTTGTCCTGGGGAGCCCAGAACTGGTCAGAGTCTTCAAATGTGACCACTTTAGGGTTGTGTAGAGAGGGGCGATCATCTCCCTCAACCTGCTGGAGACTCTTCTTAATGCACTCCAGGATCCCATTGGCCTTCTTGGCCACCAGGGACACTGCTGCCTGATGGTCAACTTGTCATGCAGTGACAATGAACGTTACCTGAGCACACCACGCCAGCGTCTTCTCCATGGTTGCAGTTATTCTGTCCCCACGGGCGAAACCTGCACTGGGAGAGGACATCTTCTGTCCCCAAACAGTTCACGTCGTCCAACCAGATGGGTCCTGAGCCTTGCCCAAAGTGAGCCCCGATGGGGGCGGACTCGGCCCTCCCGCAGCCCAGCTGCCTGCA